CATCATAAACTCTTCCTGTAGTTTTAGCCATTCTAACTAATGTAACCCACTGTTCTGGCACATATACAACCGATTGCCTTTTCTTTGCATTTTCGATAAAAGCATGCATACTGTCACCCTCGTTCTGAGTGTGGCCTTTTTCCAGAAATCTGTGAACAATATCAATATGAAAATGAGCAGCAGCAAAAGCAAACATCGAAAACACAAAACGATTCCTATTTTGTCCCCCACAGTTGTCTGAGTAGAATATTATCGTTTTAACACTTTGTTGTGCCTTAAGATCTAAAAATTTCCAGAGGCAACTGGCAATTTCATTAGCACCTCTTTTAGCCACCTGCTCGTGCCATACATAGCAGTAACCCTGATTATTTCCAACATCATAAACTGTAAAGTTATATGTAGAGTATTTGCTTTTGTAGTAAAAATCACTTACGTTAGACAAAGGGGTAGCTAAAACCTTTTGAAGGTCAAAGCAAGCCATACACAAGCTCTTACCATCTAGTGCAAGCTGTTTGTCTATGTCTTTTAAGTTTCTGATAACTTCTTTGTTTTTCATATGGGACTGATATTGTTCGAGCAATTTTGCTTTTTTAGCATCACTAGCCATATTAAAAACAGAACAAACAGTACACTGGTCCTTTTTTGGTTTAAAGAACCCAATACTGAACTGTTCATTGAAAATATCTCTATACTGGCGTGACGTGGCAGCTGTAGTGATGTTATTTTTTTCGCAATGCTCGTTGTACAATCAGTACATTTTCTGGATAGTTAGCCCTTCTTCAAGGTACATCTTCATCGTATTCTTACGGGTATAATGGAAAGGTACTACAGGAAACTGATTTATGTGATTTTTTACGTTGTCTATAAGTTCTGGTGATAGTTTTTGTGGTCTGTTAGTGTGCTTTCCACGTTTATCTTCCTCTAATGATCCACCATATTTCAGTTTCCTTAATGCTGTAGTGATCCAAGTTTCTGAAACGTTAAGGGTTTTCAAAAACATAGTTTTGCAAACACGTTGTTTTTCATTGCGAATGTAGAAGTAATATTCTCGAGAGTAATTTCTTCGAGACCGTTGTTCTGCAGTAATAGTTACTTGTTTTTTGGCAACCTGTCTCACATGACGAGCAATAAAATCCCACTTTCTCGTATGATCTTTTAACTTCCAAAATTCATTGAAAAAAAGGTCTCTATCTTCTTTAGCTATTTTGGTAGCACATTTTAGTCTACGTGTGTTTGCGCATGGTGTACCCATCTGTCTTCCTTTAATTTGAATACCTTTTCGATTTTCATGTTCAAGTCCCAGGTTTAGACTTGTTTTAGATTTTTCATCCGCCCACTTACTAACGTCTCTAATTCTTTTCCTACTTACTCTCTCTATATTGCCTCTGCTTTTGGTTGCTTGTGGTTGCTTGAGTTATATTCTTATTAGGTTCAATTATTACTTCAGGGATGTTTTTGTCTTCTGTCGGAATGTAATCTGGGTCAGTATCAGAGTCTGCATGAAATGGTTCCTCATCGCTTACCTTCTCAATTATTTCATTTTCATTCCTATTGGCTTCCTTCTCTTCTAAGCTAAACTAAACTAAACAAAACTAAAATTAAACAAAAATGAGGTAAATGCCTACGTAATATTTTTTCATGCGGAATTTAAACCAACCTATAGAACATTCAGGATTAATATCAGTCTCGTGGTCACCAGGATCCTCATTCGCCTTTTTGTATTTGCTTTCTTCTACAATACTTTCAGCAATATGTTTACCTTAAAAAATAAGTACGTTTTTACTTTGCTGTTATTATTTTAAATAAAGTTTATTATAAATTTACCTTCAAAAGAACGATAAGAAATATCCGTTTCAGTGTTTTTATACGCTTTCTCAGCTAATTCCAATATTAACTCACTTCTGGAACACATTATGGCAATTATAACAAAACTAAACTTTTGAACATCACCTTAAACTAACGCAGAATACCGTCGTAACTCATGTTACGATACCTATGCTATCGCCTCAGATAACAACGAAGACTATTGTAACTCAAGATACGATGATTTTCTACGGTTGTTTTTCATAAATCGGAGATACTATAAAACTCTTAGACGTAATATAGGTTGCATAACTACGTTTACTGAGATACGATTCTTTTCTGGGGAAGATATCATTATGTTTTATTGTTTTGCGCTCGTAACTCAAAAAGTGGAAAATTTGAGTTACTACAGTCTTCGTTGGACCAGTCGAAATGTAAAAACGCTGAGAATGCCTGTATATCTCGATGTAGATCATTCCATGATGTAGATGCATTGAAAGAAAATTTTTTTAAAAATAATATTACCTAATCGATAAGAACAATTTCCGTTTCAGATATATTTCTGAAATTTTAGTTTTTCACGTTTTTTTTCTAATTTAATACAAAAAATTGAAGTAAAAAGTAAATAGAATGAGAGAAATCAACTTTATGATGATTTAATTATAAGAATGAGAAAATTGTATAAGGATATTCAAAAATGAAGATAACGTATGTATAATTATAAACTATAGTTTGTATCGAGAGGTTCGCGCGTACCTTTTCGCTGCGAGCCGATCTTGCGCCTCGGAGCGCGCTAATAAAATATCGATATTTTGGCCAAAAATACATCAAAAACCATTTTCCTAAGCTCAAAATGTTCCTTTTGAGTTGTTTTATCATTACTGTTAATTCAAGTATAAATGTTTATTGCTCAAATTTGCTTAAAACCCATATACTTAAATAAATAAATTTACAATTTTTTTACGAAAATTACAAATTCCAAAGAGTATAATTTTAATACAAATAAAGAGAAAGTAATTTAACAAATTTTGATTAAAGTTCTATAAATTAAGCTTTAAACTGAAACTGTGAAAAGCTCACTTATACTTCATCTAATTTACGTTGCACGTCATCCGCGTCATATCCCGTGAGGTCACATAATACCAACACAAAATATTTAGGCGATAGGTGTGTTCTTTTTTAGAATCACTTTGCCGAGTACACTGGCATTACACTAGACATATTTTATTTTATAATATATGCGTAGAAATAATATTTAAAGATTTCTATTAATGTTAACTTAAAGAAATACTTACACAATAATATATTTCATTTAATTTGTATAAATGCATTATTAAAGCGTTTTTATGAAGAACATTTGTTCGGAACAAACTGTAACTGTAATCGAACGAAGGTGATATTTTGGCATAAATTGCTAACACTTATTTGACAGTTACGGTGTTGACACTTTTTGTACTTCATTATTTTGAATTTTAAAGTTAATACCTCTTATTTTATATTTTTACCTATTTAATAAAATCTTTTCTTTTTAGAACAAAATTAGTGTGTTTTATTTCAAAAATGCCACGTAAAAATTTAAAAATCGTTGTAAAGAGATGGTAATACTCTTGCAATAATTATGTGACCTATTTGATTTAAAATGGATTCAGGATTTTTTTATACTTTGGCAACTACGTCAACTTCGATGTCTGTCAATGATAATGACGTGCAACGGTAAGTAAATTAGATAGACTGTACATGCGTAGAAGCTAAGTTACTTATTTTGCAACCATTTTGAACTAATTTTATAATATCTCAAGTTCTTATTATTGGAGATACCTCACAAATTCACGAATAACAAAAAATACCAATTGTACAGAATGAAAAAGTCCGTTTACTCTTCAAACAATTTAAAAAACTAATATTTCGTAACTTCTTATGGGACAAATACACACGAATTAGTCACTTATTTAGAAAAATACGGAATATTTGCCAATAAAAGGACGAACAAGAAGCTACCACAATTGCCACAAAAAGAAAATTGATAAAGATCCCCGATAACTTTGTAAATGTTTTTTGTGGATGCATATTAACTAAAATGTTCACTTACAATGGAAATCTCAAGAATAAAAAAAGCGGCGCGAAAGACCTTGCAAATGATATATTGCAATAAGCAACTTAATATTTACAGGAATGATCGATGACGTCATCACGCCCTAATAGATGACGTCAAAAATAAAAAACAAAAACAATAAAAAAAAAAACAATATGAAAACCCGCTCACTTAGAACTACAAATCAAGGGCTTTCAGGATTTTTCTATAAAGTCGCCGGTTTTTAAAATAATCAAGTTATTCTTCTTTTATCACCTACTGTAGAAATATATTGTAACTCTCTACCCCTGATTGCGGCCCTGTGCGTGAAGAAATTCGAGAAGCCGAATTCGTCTAGTTATCAGAAAACTTTTGGAATCTCGTATTTTCCGTCTTTTCGCTAACTAGAAATTGAAAATTTTTAGATTACGCCATTTTGAAGATTTTTTATCTCTTAACTGACAAAATGTTTGTACATAAGAATAAATAGAGAAGTTTTACACAAAATTTCGTTATTGCGTTGGTAATTTCGCACTAAATTGTTGATAATTAAAAAACAACGCTGAACTCTGCAGAAACCGTATAGTGTTTGCTATAGGTACCTAGGTATCCAGAAAAACTCGTCAAATATCTGGCTAAAAAATCCTGAACACTTTGAAATTTTGCTTATTTCTCTGGACTAACAGTTGGTAGTTAGGATCTCGTGAGCAAAATTTTAAATTATATAGGTAGTGGCCAAATCTCGGAGCTCGGGCGCGGACGAAGAATTATGAGATGAGAATGCAAAAGACAGAATGATACAATGTGAGAGCAGAGCAGACATGTCTCAGCCCTCAAGGACGCAGAAAAAGAAACGGATCAAGGGAAACAAGGAAAATATCTGTGAATTGAAGGAAGACATTAGAAAAAATTTTATAAGCTTTATTTTTATAAGAGTATTTTTAAGTTTACATGTTGTAATTTAATAAAGATTTTGCATCAGAATTAATGCTCTTTTCCCTTCGGTTCCCTTTTCTACATGTAAGTAATAACACTGCAATTCCATTCAATGCGTGCCAAAATTTAAAACGCAATAATAGGGTAATGTTGTGAAATTATATAATGTTAAGCTAAATTAAATACTTACCATTCAAAATAGTTTTTTCTACTTGTACCAGTCGTTTTTCTGAAAATTTGGTCCAACATCCGTTCTTCCCACCATTTATTAACTCAGCTTCCACTTGTTCTGTTTCCATCTCCATGATTGTTGAAATATTTTTAATTAATTGTGCCTGTTACTGAACGAGTTTTTAAAGGTAGATAAGTTTATCTATGGTTTATGTACAATAATTAATGATTAACTTCAACTGTAATTTAACACACGATTGATGAACTGACACTGAATGAAAAATAAAAACCAGTGAACATAAACTCTAAACTGTGCACTTAACAACGTGTGGTAAACAAATAACGTAATAATAACCTAACATTATAAAGCTAAACTTGAATAATGACCTTGCCTCAGAGAGGTATCCTTTCTTAATAATTGTTTCATATTATGAATCATCGAAAATTTTGGTAATTTATAAACTGACGAAATCCAAACATAGTGCTTAAACCTTCTAGATCTTTCAGCAATTGATTAAAATATATTACGGGAATATCTATAATGAATTTGAAAATCAATTATTTGTCACAAAATATATAACTATTAATTTTTGATTTTATCATTGTTTGATATTAGATTAGGATACAGTTCGGGTTTAATATAAATCAACACTATAACATAACACTTCATATCAAAATTTATATTTTGGTTTTGTTTGAGGAATTCCGAATAGAAGTAGCCCAAATAAATATAATATTTTTTATAAACCGTAACAACCGTAACTAATGGGTGAATATTGTAATGGACTACTGTACCGGATCGCATCGCACAATTTAACCTTGCAGAGTACAAATTGTGTCTCTTCTGCCGTCGACGGAAAGATAAACTGTAAATATTTAATTATTATTAAATAAATATTTATTAGTGCTCTGTGAATCAAGCTATAAACTAAAACACAGAGTATGATAAATGTCTTAAGTGTTCAATTAAAAACATCTAAAACAAGAAAGATATAACACTAGATTACCAACCAATTACAACCTAAATATTTATAGTTAAAAATACAATGAATCAATTCTATTCATTTGACGTCTTATGTTGTCCAAATTAAGTTTCTTTGCATATACTTTAGTATTTAAAAATATTGCAAGTTACAAAATAGAACAAAATGTAGCAAAGAAACTACCTTCTCCATTTATCTGGGGAAAAGTAAAAGTTCTGAAAATTGGAAAATTATAAAGAACATAAGAAACAATAGGACCATAGAGGTAAAACCACCAATAAAACTTAAATGATAAAAATACTTAAAATTGTTGTTCAATGAAAAAGAAAAGATTGAATTACTTCTTTTCAAAATTAAAAATCTTAAGATTTCTGACGTCCAAGGGGATCCACATAGGTCATATTATCAACGAATGCGAATTATTCAAAAACGGGAAATCTATATATGAGACTCTAGAAATATGGTACTACAGTTGTATATCAACATCAATAAGAATTCCAAAGATGCATAAATGGCGATATAAATACATTAGGTAATACTATTATAATAATGGGGAACATCATTTGTGATAATTCATAAAAATGTTACAAAACAAAAAAAACTAAGGAGGAATATCAAAAAATCATAAAAAAGAGAATTGTACAGAAATACCAAGAACAGATGAAGAAAGTAGAAGGAAAAACAGGTTTTCGAAAAAACAGTACGTGGCGCTTTCATGAGAATCATAAACAATTGCAAAAATCGCGCAACGCATATTTCTGTAAAGCCTTGAACAACTGAGTTAATTTGAGGCAAAACACAAAAATTTCGAAATTTATACTCTTCACCGTTCAAACGCATTTTGAGTTTTGTCCATAAGACATACATAGATAAGATCTACATAAAAAGTGATAAACATTTTTATTCAAAATTATATAAGCAACATTTTTTATTTAAAACATTTTTTTCTATGGCGTCTTGGTAAATCGATTTTGTATGTTTCCCCTCCCCCTACAAAGGGGGTTTTAGGGTAAGCCCGGGGTAGGAGTGGTAAACCTTTAATGAATATTTTTTGGGGTCTGAAAATGGACATTCGCAATAATTTTTAGATGTTCAGTGGCATTTTTATTTTGGACAACTGGAATAATTGAGGAATGGGGTTTAAAAATAAAGATTTATTTTATTATATAGGGGAGAAAATAAACAAGAAATACGAGTTTTTCTGGAATGTAGGAATTTAGACTTAAAAATGTTACAGGGCGAAACAATGGATGCAACGATCAAGCTAAGAAATATACTCAACACAAACCAACCCAAAAGATAACAAATAAAATTATTTTTAATACTAAAATATATAATACTGTAATATACTAATGTTATATTTAAAACTATTACAGCCCGCCGTAGTGAGTTACGAGCACTTAAATCAAAGGCAAATAAGATTGTTCAGTCAGAGTCACAGACATGGATTTCTGTAGAAGATCAGATGGGATATTTAGAAGAGAAATAAAAAAAGTGAAAAATTTTGAGAAACTTGGAGAAACAATCATAGATTACATCAACAACCAACATCTCGAATGGTATAAACGTAACGTGTGGACACAAGTAAAAAGTAAAAAAAATCGGGAAGACTCAGAATGGGTTGGTAGAGATTTGAAATCGGACAACACCGAAGAACGTTGTAAACCGATATACGAGTGTAATAATATACTATTTGATTTTTGCAGAGATATATATTCTCTTACATATCTCTGCCTTTTTGTCTGAACAGTTTTTCCCCAGTTTTAAATATATAGAAAAAAAATATTTATTACTCATTTTGTAATACTTTTTGTTATATAGAATGGTTTAAAATATTTCATTATTTTGTTTGAACATAAAAATGATTAATTTTTTGTCTAATTCCAGTAACTTTAGTGTCAATATAGAGACAATTCAATACTTAACTAAAAAAACAGCATTCCGCTATATGCAACCAATTATACATAAATACGTTTAATATTTAATTTACTAATTTTATAAGTATAAAATATTATTTACCTACTGCAGTAGCAGTAAATGACCGTTTTGGAGTTTAATTTTCCCTGTCACGATGTATTTACCTGAAAATTTAGATTTAGGTTCGTTTTACCTTTTACTTCACATTTGGATGTGAGTCATGGCACTTCTGTGGTCATGGGTTGCTTTTTTTGGAGATGATCCCTAATAGCACATGTACATCCAGTATACGTCCATAGTACGTCCCTCATGGACTTTAGGGACGTCCCTCGAAAGTCCGCTTTGATCCTATTTACGTCCGTTTTACGTCCTATATTGGTCCGAATGTCGCTGCGCCAAAACGCCAAACGTCCTATGGACGTCCATTTTACGTCCCGAGCGGACGTAAAATGGACGTACCGGGACGTTAATTGGGCCTTAATCGGACGTCCATAATACGTCCAAAGGACTTACTTGACGGACTTTTGTGATGTTTTCGGACATCTATTTTAGCGCTGAGGATGTAAATTAGACGTCAACGCCATTGTATAAAGTACTAAAAGTGGTGTCATCCTGTGCATATTAAGAATGTATTTTGGGAAATAAAAAGTAAATGTTTAAAGAAACTTACGTTTATTATTACATTTATTTATATTTATTTATTATTAACAAACGGGACAAATCTACTGTCAAAATTATGCAAAAATGCAACATTATAGAAATTTAAATTATTTTGTATAATAAAACACAGATGTTTAAAGAAACTAACATTTATTATTACATATATTTATTTATTAATAACAAATGGAACAAATTCACTGTCAAAATTATACAAAAATGCAACATTATAGAAATATAGACAAAATTACAGATAAAATAAAATATACATGAATAAAATAAATAAGTACACATTTTATATTAAGTTTCATTTAGCATTTAAGTGCTTCAAATAGTACCTAAAGCTATTGATATGAAAGTTTTAGACCATCGCTATGTGTGCAACATAATTAGTTCTGCGCGGTAAGGAACATGGAAATGTAAATTCTGACACAGTGAATGGGAAAGAATATGAAAACAAACTAGCTGGAGCAATTCAGTAGATTGGTTATTCTATAAACAAGTTGAAAAATAAAGATTAAAATTTAACACTTTTGATAAGAGAATCCAGATTCAAGAAATTGATCATACCTACCAGAATAAGAATATGGGCTACACAATTTACAAGAACAGTAGATGCTTGTGTGCTTGTAGAATGCTTAGCAAACATATATCATCGTGATAACTAGAATAATAAAACAATTGTAACGAATTATCTAGAAATAAAATATTTTGACACTTTACCTTAAAAAAACAAAACATGTTTTGGATATATTAAACTATACAATTTTTAATTAATCATGATTTAACCCTTTCGCTTTTAATTATTTTATTAACCTAAATAATTTTTTATTTTATTGAAATATTTACTATTTGATCCCATAATTGGTAAATGTCGGATGTCCAGAAAACGTCCGAGTTCGGACGTCCAGGGAACGTCTGTGTGTGGAGGTCCAGGGAACGTCCTAGTACGGACGTCCAGAGAACGTCCATATTTAGTCCACCCAAAGTACGTCCCACTTCGTACGTCCATAGTACGTCCATTTTACGTCCAGGGACGTCCGGACCAAAACTGGACGTATATTGGACGTCCATAGGACGTCGTGTGTTACTAGGGATAGTACCCTTCTGGGTGGTGAAAAGACATAAGTTCAAAATAAGTCCGGAAATGGAGTTATTTTTTTCACTAAGTCCATACTTTTTGAGTTATTTACGAATGAAAATGTTCATTTTTCAAAATAAAAATCAAGTTTTCAGACGGTTTTTCCCAAATAACTCAAAAAGTAAATATTTATCGAAAAAATATTCTTAGCAGAAATGTAGCGTATAAATAAAATGATGTAAAAATTCAAATTTTCATGTAATTTTCATGTGGAGGCAAGGTACCCAGTGACATTGTTTTAAATCTACCCAATCTAGGGGGTGAGATTTAGGGGTTAAACTGTGATAGAATCTTAAATTATCTTTATCAAGGTAAGTAATACCTAAATCCCAATTTTCATGTAATTCGGTGGTGACACGAAAAATTACAGGGTATCTCCGTATTTCACGTTCATTTACTGGCCTATATTTACTGGTCAACTGGTTGTTAGTATATGCCATATTTTTTTTTTAACTTTGTTTACTTAAATAGTTTATCTTTATAGATTCGTATATTAAATCCAATTCTGGTATTAGTTTTCTGTATAACCCATATTTTTGGAATGATCCGCTTCTTATTAATCACTATAAAACTCC